AAGTAGCTGCTCATTTGTCGGAAACGTCGATATTGGACCACTATAGCATATAGCCGCCATACAAACTAAACGAACAATATCCAGTCGTCGTATGGAAAATTGTTTATATGACGAAATGGACGAAAATTTGTAATATGCATATTTCTCATAAATAAGACTTCTAACAGATTTATTAGTTCCTAAAGACTATGTTCACACGAGGACTATTTTTGCCGCCCAAACCGGTTTTTGTAGGCAAGGGGACGACGAGAAAAGACGAAAGAACCATCCCGCTCGTGCTCGGATGATATGCTTTGTGGTATTGTTCCCAGCTGTTCGCTGCCATGTTTGCAAAGCGCTCTCTTTTAAATGAATTTTTCTTTATGTGCGGAAATTTAAAATTTTGGGATCTATTTTTTGTATTTAATATAATAAAAATGTTTTAGAAAATGGTGAATAAGAATATATAATAGCTAATGAAATATATTCGTTTTCTTTTGTACACCGCGTACATGAAGTGTGCAAGAATTTGAGAATGTGATGTGAATGAAAATGCGGAAAATGTCTAACTCAAGTTGTCGCACTCGTGTTGCTCGTGTGAACACAATATTTCCTTACTTATATATCTTTATTTCCTATTGATTCTCCCATAAGTTTCTGCATAAAAAGAAACCAACCAAACGCATAAAGATTTGTCTTTATTTATCTAAAATTGTACATAGAAGGGAAGAATTTGCAGTCTGAAGAAAAGTATTTAGAGAATTAAGCCTATAAAACCAAGCACTCTTGGATCTTAAAGCTCATCTTTCAAACAAACATAGAAGATTCTTTCATATTGTAAATATACTGGCAGGTTTTTATTCCCTTCGATGAAAATTCGCATTCATAAGAATTACATTTTTTAACCAGTTTCGTGCCAGCGATCCATTATTTCAAACGCCTAGCAACCTGCACAGATTTCACCGTAGGGTATTTAAAAGGAACTAAGTTAAAACTAGTTTTGATTCACAGATGCATGAAAGACTTATTGACAGTTCTCGAAGGTACAAGTATACTTGTATGAAGCCAAAAGCGTTATGGAAGAAAAAAACTCTTGTCAAATGAGCAGTCGAAGTGGTCTATTGTTATATCAATATTGAAAAATACTCGTATAACATTAACTTTTACCGAAAGTTTTATCTTCTGCAACAGTAAACTCATATCGAGCACGCATATCATCAGCAATTGATTATATTATGTAAATAACAGCAACAACAACAAGATTACTGTTTGACAACAAACTTTTTACTTAAACACAATTTTGTTTCTGCTGTTTTTATACAGTTACTCCTACCATTAGGGCTGATGAGTTCATTCCGTAGCTCGAAATATTATAAGCAAATATACAATGTCTCCCGGCGGTTGTCCTTTTTGTTGGTAGTGTTGTATATATAATTCAATTTCCTTAAATTTCTGTGAGTTATTTATATGTGTACTAAAAACTTTGCAGTTTGTCAACATTATAAAGTGACAGCAATACCACGCGGGCACAACTAGTTTCTCTTTCTCTCTCTCTCTCTCACACACACACTCTCTCTCACTCTCTCTGTCATATATCCTTCCCTACAGGGCATTGATAATTCATTTTAAGTCAGATGCTTTGGTAGCGATGATGTTTGGAGTTTCAGTATTCAGGCCACCAGCAGAGCTGTGAGGAATTATGTAAATAAGTTTCGTAAAGATCAAAAACTTATATCGAAATTATTATATATTAAAGAACGTTTAGCGATCGGCAATGATAACGTTTATAATATATATATTAAATAATAACGCGGTTTAATGCGTACTTAATCTACAAAACAATGAAAACGGTGGAAAATGGTACTTTATTTCACAACACAGACTTTTTTTACCTCGATAAACTTGACCTAGCGTTGCTCCAACTTCTTTTTTTTTTTTGGAAATGCGCAAAGTGGGGCTCCGTGGCGACAATAATCTCTTGAATCCACTCGAATGGGGCAACGGTTCATAGCCTAATTCCACAAATTGGACCGTGGCGACAGCGGAGGTGAGGCCGCTTTTTCAGCAATTCGTCGTCGAATCAGTTCGATTGCCATAGTGGATCCCCTGATATTGTACGGAGTGAGCAAGCTCGGCACTTATCGCACCGACGACATTCTCTTGTTCAATTCCTCGTAAGCTTTTCGAATGCCTACTGTCTCAACTATCTCGAGTTTTTTCAATCAGCGGTCTACCCACACGAGACCGTAAAATCACCGACAATATTGCTCTTTTTTCATTTATACATGGGTTCCCTTCATTGTTCCTGAGACCAGAATTTCCTTTCGGGTAAAGGCAACCTGCTCTGTGCTAATAAATTTTGTTTTACATCTCGAAAGTGGTATTCGCGAACGTAGGAGTATTCGCGAACTTAGGTAGTGAGAAAAATTAAACTTTTTACTATGAATTTCCATTAATAAAAATTTACATATAAGTAAGTACAAACGCACTTATTTAAAAAAAAAGTAAAAGCACAATTCGCAGCGCAGAGTTGCATCAACAAGACACAGTGGAGTAAAAGCATAAAAATTTACAACAGCAATACAGTAAAAAACACATTGCACATTTTGGGTGAGTCTCTGCGACAAAAGGCAAGCAGAAACAGTATAAAACCACATCTCTATACAGTCAGGTGTCACAGTGCGGAACCGGAAACTGCACATACATACATATATAATATATATATAACATATATATATATATAATATGTGGTGAAAGCCACAAACACACATGCAGCTAAGCAAGTTGTAACGTTATTCTAAATAAAGAGAGCATCGTGCAACCGCATTAGCAGTTAAGTTAAAATAACAAAACAACAACAATAATGGCGAACAAAACGAAAAACGTAAAAGTTTGTCTTTAGCCGTAAATGAGGCAATAAAAGCATAGAATCACAAAAGGCAAAATTGCTGCTAAAAAGCAACAAAAACAAAAAAGTTGAAACCCGCACCCTTTGTGCCATTGCTCTGCTCTCTACTTTCGCAATATTGACGGCGGTTGCCAACGGTCGCACATATACTTCTATATATGTAGGTAAATACATGTGTGTATAGTGACAGTTAGTGCACGAAACTTTGCCAGGTTTATGCTAATTCGGTTCCAGGTTTTACTATATTTTACTTTTATTATTTAGTTGTGGAGTAATTGCATTTCCGGGCAGTCGCTGGCGCTCAGCGTGTTCGCTCGCCTTGTCGACATGTCGCGTGTCACGCGTGCGTGTGTGTGTGTGTGTGTGACGCTCAAAAACTTTTATGCAAATGTGTGCAAACAATTTTGTTTTATTGTTGATGTCATTTGTTTTTGTTGTTGTTATATCTCCACTGTACGCAGTAAAAAGGCAATCTCATCACTCAACTCTAAAACAACAGCTTTCGACACTCACGCATAAATTAAGCGACACAACACGCAATTACAGAAGTTTACACACATGCACACATACGTCCATATAGAAAGAATTAATATGACCCAGTGGGGACATCCTTAGAGGCGTTATGTGGTACGAAATTAGTGGATTTTCCCCACTAAACAATTAGCCTAGTCAAATTTCATTGTCTCTGGAAAGTAAACAGTGTGTTCTATAAATTAGATCATCTACTCGAAACATGAAAGCGGCGGTGAAGAAAAATAAGTTAAAAAATAAAAAATCAAGAATGTAAAGCTGAAGATAGGAGGAAAAATATTCGGACTCCATCAAAAAGTGAATTTTACGATGTTCCATATAAGGGAATAGGCGCCTTATATGGAGTTTTATTGCTTAGAAGATCAGTGGCATTTAGTATTCGCACCGAGATTAGTGCATATGCCCACAGCGACCATGTCTTGTGGATAACCTAACTTCGGTTCTATTCTGCTTATTCCGGCTTATGTCGACAATAAAGCTGAAAATGTTGCTTTCCAACTTCGTTAGCCATAGTTGGTTTAGCTGCAGTAGACCTAGCTAAAATTTGGTATCTTTTAAGATCGCTTAAATCCGGCATGATCCACTTATGAATTTAAAAAATTAATTTTATATATCGAATGTAGATACATTTGAGAATATTCTCCAAAAATTTGATCCGGCAAATATATAACATATGTATATAATATAATGTTTTCAAAGATATGAGCGTATTTATAAGAATATTTTACCTTAATTGACTCGTAATTGAACTTAAAGCGAGTTTTTCTTGAAACGCTGTTTTCGGTGTGGAAAATTTTTCCGAAATGGCTAAACCAACCGACTTGAAACTTTCACACGTCATTCTTATATATATTTGTCAGATGTTGATCGAAGTAATAAGATTTTGACAATAATTAAAATTTTTGAAACTACTCTGAAGTGTACATTTTTTAATTTGTCAAAAATCAAATCTTTGACAAGTGCTTTGTTCATTAACTTAATTCATTTATAGCAATATTTTTTTGGGTTTTTGGATTTGAGATAATTTTAATCAGGCAAATCTTTCTCACCGTTAGACACCCTTTTTCGAAGGTCCTCCTGAAGATCGGCTGCGGGATCAAGGAAACACAAAATGTTTCAAAAATATTCACCGATTATTCAAGTGCATCATTTTCTATAAATGTGCATTATTTTTATTTGCACTCTTTTTACTGGCCTGCAAGCGGATATACTTAAATCTTAGACTTGAGATAAAAAAACAATAAAATTATGGTTGAGCTTTTAATTGACTATCAGCTCAATCTTCTGACATACCACTGAAGCAATGGTCTGATGGTGACCCTTTTGATACAGTAAATTTTTTCCAACATTAATTCATAAATTAGTAATTTCCAAATGGGGTCGCAAATTTGTCATTATTATTTTGCTGTTTACCTAGGCCTATTCGCACTTGTAATTAACTGAATGTTTATTTTGTGGTCCACACACACATATCTATTTACACCACACACATGTGGTTGTTGTGGCGCTTTGCATCAAACATCATGCTACACTCATATTTATTTTAATTTAATATATTTCCATTTTTATTTGTATTTTGCAGTTTAATTCAGCGTGACACCCGTCCCTCTCCCCTTATCAACTGCCGAATGGTTAGCGGGAAGCACACACGCGAATCATCACGAGCGCCAGATCATCGTTCAGAGGCACGACTGCGCATCGATCCGAAGGTGTTGGTGTTCGTGGAGACAACATACTCAGGACTTGGGCGAGATATTGCAGAACTATTGGTCTACAATAGAATTAAGTGAGTACTGATCTACTATGAAAGGATATATTAAATTTACACCAGTATAATACTAAAGTATTCCTATAACATTTTTCCATCTTTCTGGCGATTTGTGCATTCCATCCAAAAAAATGGCGCCGGCTAAAAATGAATCAAGCCAATTTCTGATACACTGTTGTGAAGTGAACTACATTCCAAAGAGAGCGTTTTGCATCGACTCCGACAAATGGTGGTCAGAAGGGGAGAGGCCTGTGTTATAAGGCGGGTGAGGCAAAACTTGCCAGCCGCTGTTTTCCAAAGCTTTGATCCCACCAAATTCAGAGCATTATCTCGGCGTCATAGATATTCGGCTCTGCCGTTGATTTGGGTGGTCGGACAGGTTTCACATATGATTTTTTGCGTCTAGGGTTGTTGTAAGTAATACATTTTTCCTCTCCAATCACAATCCGATGCAAAAAATACTATTTTTTGTAGCGTTCAAGCAGAGTTTCTGACATGCAAAATGGTCTTTCAACCTCTCTTGGCTTCAATTCATATGACACTCAATTTGCTTGCTTTTGAATGTATTCAGCTTTAAACGTTTTGATATGGTTGTGTTTTTCAACTATCTTCATCGAGTAATGCTTTCAGTTCCTCATATTCAAACTTTTTTGGTCGCCAAGGACGTTCTTCAATCGTCTTCATAGTCAAAATAACCACTTTAAGAGCGTGCAAACCGCTTTTTGCTCCTTCGCTCAGCTAGAGCATGTTCATTATAAACTTTCACCAAAATATGACGACTTTCGACTGAGGTTCTCTTCATATTAATGTTATGAAGGTTCCCTTCATATGAATGTTATGAAGGGAGTTCCCCCCCGCAAAAACAATTTTTCAGGCACAAGTTCAATATATTTGAGTGAAAATAAATTATTGTTGTTTACGCTTCAAATGAGTGGCATATACTGAAGAAAACACGACACGGAAGCTTTCCAACGCATATTCAGAGTATTGGAACAATGATTATTATTTCATTGTTACGCCAACTCTTGACAAACTACATGAATATAGTTTTAGACTAAATATAAAGGTTAAATACAACTCCCAAAGTGCTAATGGAGGAATGGGAAGTAAGATGTGTATAATTTACACGAAACCGTTATATTCTAACAACCCAAATGTCAAATGCCACCATTACCCACGCACTCACCCACTCTATGTACAAGCCACGCCGTAACTCACTTTCCATAATTTAATATTCCATCATTATAATACTCCTGCAAATTTGTCACAATTTAGTTGAGCTGTGGCAAGTTGCATGTACTCATTATTAGAAGAGAAAACAATTGAAGCGGAATGCTAATGTGGTGCTGCTTTGCAGAGTATGCTACCAATTACCAACGTACATATGGCCACCCCACCGCCCTTACGAGTATGTGAGTAATCTCGGCTTGATCCTTCTGACATAAATTAAGGCGGGGAAAACGAAAGAAATAACAATTTCAAAATCATTGACCCACATTTGCATACCCAAGCAGTCATTACAGTTACCGCTATGCAGCGCTATACATTGTTGCTGCTCCCTTACTAGCCGCCCACACAAACATCCATATGTGTGTGTATGTGATTATCTTTGCTTGTGTGGGTATTGATTGATCCACAAGTGCAGACTCGCTTCGCAATGTGCTCTAACTTGGTAGTGTTGTTGCTAACAGTCAGTCAGTCAGTTATTTAGAGCAAATGCCTGATTGTTGTTGTTGTTATTATTATCATTATTATTGTGTGCGCTGCTGATGCGTCGAATATTATTGCCACCGCAACAGTCAGCGAATTAATTTCGTAACCAGAAATGGGCTGCCACTGAAACAACCGCAACAAATACCAACAAATTTGTATAACAACAGCAATAACGCCAAAGCATCGGCAACTTTATTGCGTACAAAACGCACACAGCCTCTGGGAATTGATAGAAATACAAATGACTGTACACATGCAGCGTTACAACGCCTTAACATATGCAATGGAATTTGTAAACATTCGATGGTACAACTTGACTCTGCGATGAACAAGCGAACGAACGGATATGGCAACGCTTGTAATTTGAAACGCTTGCCAATGCACACATACGTGTTTAATATAGTATTACATTTGTAGCTGCAATTTTATGCCTGTGTGTGTGTGTAGTTCGGTTGTAATTTCGCCGTTGACCTCAGAGACATTGTTAGATTCTATGAATTCAACTTTACCCAGAGGCGTTGACGAAACAAACTTGGGATTGCAAATTACAATGTTGTTTTTGTTTTATCATCTTAAATCGTCTTAATAGTTTATAACACACAATTATTCGTGACACACACGTTCGTTAACGATAATAATTAATTAGTCATGAGTGCAAAATATTACACGAAAAAAAAGCAAAAAGTAGTTTTATAATTCAATTAACTCTGTTTGAATGACGTGCAGTCGTTGTGACTTGAGTGTTTTTCAGGTGAGTATCAAGAGAGACTATGTGAGTGCAAATTTGGGTTTCTTGAGGCTAAGTAAGCCATAGGTCAGGTTAGGTTAAGAGATTGATTTTAGCAGGGATCTTATTTGAACAGCTTAGCACACCAGCCTATTGTGGTACCTAAATCTTCTATACAATAAATTATAAGATCCTGACAAATCGACAAATGATTTTGAGCGTCCGGGTTCGCCGAAGATAAGACTGCCGAGATTTTTTGTTTTGCTAAGAGCAAGTAGTTCTGTAGACCTCCTGCGTTTTACTCGTCGTCGATCAGCGCCTGCTAAGCTCACGCGAGGTTCTAACTCGGTCCAATTCCAATGTGAGCTAGGCAAAGGTGCCCGCTTTGGATAGCTCATCGGCTTTGCAATTACCAGCGATCCCGCTATGACCAGGCACTCAAACGCGTCTGATGATGAAATAGTTTGATGATATTACTAGTGAGGACAGCCACACCTTGACTAGCTTTGAGCGGACAGTTAACGAGCTCAGTTAGCGTTAGTATTGCCGCTCTGGTTTCGAAGTTAATGCTCACCTCCATGAAAGAGGCTGCATTTCGTAGCAGAAAGTTTACTGCCACCTAAATAGTTCCCACTTCTGCCTAAAAAACACTACGGTGGTCCGGTGACCTAATGCTAAGGCTCCTTTCTCTCAAGAAAAAGCTCTAGGTATTTCACCTTGTCAACAGGTTGAAGATGTAAGCCTCCGAATGAGGGGAAATAAACGTCTAGGATCTATTTGGCCAGTTGGATCTTTCTCACGGTCACTCCGTAATTCCAGCCGATTTGTTTATTTTTTGTTTTATTTTTGTATATTTATATTTCCTGTTGTAGAAGTTTTGTCCATTGCTCTGATCTCAGCCAAGACAAATTGAACCACTAATTTTGGTAGCCCATTTGAGTAATTTTGCTTTATCTAGTTCTCTTATATCTTTGCAAGATAGACGGATGAAACCTCTTATAATTTTAGGCTGGAAGTACAAACTCTAGATTACATTTCTGCTCGGTACTTCCTCGGATATCTGACTTCAGCAAGGTTTTTTATACCCTGAACAAGATATATTCGATTTCCACGACTTTTTTTTACATCCAAAGGGAAATGTAGGAGACCCAATAAAGTAGAAACAAATATATACAGCTTCTGTCCAATAATCTCCGTGTCATAATCACGATAGCTAATATATATATAAATAATCAGCATAATGAGCTCACTTAATTTAGCCATGTCTGTATGTTTGTCCGTCTGTCCATCTGTCTATATATAAGTTCTACTCTCTTGGTTTTTGAGATATTGATCTGAAATTTAGCACCTGACCTTTTCTCACCAAGAAGCTGCTCGTTATTCGGAATAGCATCTAGCTGCCATACAAACGATCGGAAATAAGTGCATGGAAAACTTTTTCACTTGACGAGATATCTTCACCAAATTTGGAACTATATCTAAAGCAAGAAATGAATCTCTGAAGAAATTGTTCAGATCGAATCCCTATAACATATAGCTGACATACAAACTGAACAATCGGAATTAAGTTCTTTTCCTTTTGTATTTGTGAAGGGTATTATAGCTTTTTTCTTGTATTTTTCTTGTTTTTCTTTTATGTGCTTTGTTCTTCACGCTGAAGTGAGTGTTAGTGGCTCTGAGTTTCGATGACACAAATACTGAAAATCCAAGTGACGATGGTGATGATAGTGCAATGTGATGCTGAAAGGCACGTCCATCGCATATTTACACATACGCTTATATAGCAATATCCTAAAGATTTCACACACTTACACCCGAATGCTTACACATTTCATGGCGTTCTTATTGCTGAGTACAGAAGAGTAAAGTAAGTCCTTCAGCCACTTGACGCTGTCAGCGTTGATGCCGACGATAGTAGCACTCCAAACTGCCAGTTGCACGCCACTAAGAACGTATGCACATATCTGGTATACGTGGCGCTAAAGTTTCCATTTCTGTCGTATTATTAACGAACATGACTCCTGCCTGGCTATGGGAGTGACGCGAGACATGCGTACCTGCCGGCTCTTTAAGTGGGCGATAATATTCGAATGTTAGCTGTTGTCAACTTTTACAGGGAAAACATTGCGTAAATGTTTATATTTCAAATATATACAAACACACGTGAAAGGGGGAGTGTGCCTCCGTACCCAAAAATGGCAGTGCCTTTCCTCTCCGGTTCCGCCTTCGACAAGCAGTATTTTTTGAAGTTTCATTCGGGTACGGTTCACGGCCTGCTCTATCAATTGTGAGTGGAATGCGATAAGCTTGCTGCCTCTGACAAGCAAATGAGTATTTTCAGCTGCTGAATACTAACATCCACATATACGAATATAAATGTGAGGACGATAGTGTGTGTCTGCTGACTGCTTAAATGGGATTCCCATAACAGACGCACGAGCACACATTCTTCCACCTATAGTAGCGCGTATAGACAAAAGCTCATAGAACAAATGTGCATATATGTGTATGTATGTATACATTTTAGTTTGTATACTTCCTTAGAGCCTTTGCCGCAATCGTTGCCATTGTCCTTACT